GCAGCAGGAAGACTGCTGCCCCTGCTGTAAACCTGAGGTATGGGTTTGCAGCAGGACCAGCACAGAGGAAATGCTGCCATTGCTGCGAGCCCCACACCTCAAGACACTAGGATCAGGGGCAGCATTCTCCCTGCTGCAAGTGCTGAAGTGGACAATGCTTGGCAGGGGCACCATTCCCAGTGCTGCCCCCGCAGCAGGAGCAGTTCAGGAAATTCTGCACCCGATGCATTACAAGCCCCATCAACTGTGGGGCTCAACTGCAGGAGCCAGTCAAGGAGGAACCCAAGATTGTGATCCCAGGTTCTCCCTGCAGCAGAGATTTCACATTAGATCCCATTACATCCTATCTCATAATCATGCCTTCTGTCACACACGTGATATGGCAGGAGGCATGATTTTGTGATCACGCATTAGATCCCATAGCATCTTTACCTCCACCTGTAGAGGAGCCCTAAGCAATCTAAGTTCCAACAAAACCAGCCATGCCAGCATGCTGATGGCTGTGAATGCTGGTGCTTGTCTGTTTGCAAATATGGCTATGTAAGAAACACGCTTGAGCACCTTCTGCAAACAGGTAGGTTTTAAATATGCACAGCCAAAGCAATTTTTCCTTTTTATCTCTTGAAAGCCCAGACAAGTTGAGATCAATGTGCATGTCTATTAACATACGGAGCACACTGGCCAAGATTTTTTAAATAATTGCCTTTGTCTCATAAAGCTCCTTTTAATCTTTATTTATATGCCAAGATAAGTGACTTTGGAAATGCAAAAGGTATGGAATGGCTAGTGGGTCCAATTAAAGTCAGAGAAATCAAATATTAAGTGTCTTATTTGCAAGCCCTGAACTGGGGAAATGTAGAGGTTTGATTCCTCAAAGTCACTAAGGTTTGGATAGTTCTACTGCACATTGATGATTGGCGGTATACATGGGTGTATGCAGATGACAGTGGCATCTAGAGGAGGGGGTAAAGTAGGAAAAAATATTCCTGTGAAAAACAGTCACCCAATGGAAATACAGCTGCACTGTGCAGTCTGACTTTATCATCTAATTAAGGAAGTGAGTTATGCTTGGTGAGGGGAGAAGCTGTTGTTTTTCATATGATCTGTGGTTTAAGAGCAATCTTCTGCACAGTAGATGCATCAAACGCTTGTGTTTTATACAAAACATCTGATGGTTCAGGTTGTGTAGTGTACATGTAATGTATATGGGTACTTGAGAGATTACTACATCAGGGCTGAGTGTTTTGGGTGGAAATTCAAGATCAGCCAAAATGTCTGTCAGTTCACTGACCTAAATGCGAAAGTTGAAAACCCAGTCTGGTAGAATAGCTTCCTCTCTTTACAGTACATCTCAAAGGGCTTAAAGACCCTGGCCTACAACTACCGGGGCACACTTCAGCGGGAGCGGAGAGGTAGCCTTTTGTTGCTTGGTGTTATCCATTTAGAAAACAGAGGTTGAGAAGTATAGGGTGTTATCCATCCATCTCTTGAATGCTCAGCTCATTGTGGTTGGGTTGTTGATGGCTGCAGCACCTAAATATTAACATGGCTTTGTCCTCCGGCCCCTCTGTTAGACAGGAGGGCCCTTCATGGACGGGGGTGTACAAATGCTCCTGCTGGGACTTAAACCCAGAAATTCTTGTCCCTGCTCTGTCCAACCGATTGTCATAGTTGGGTGTCAGGAAGGAATTTTACTCTGTGGTCAGGTTGGTATGCATGGGGGGTTGCCTTCCTCTGGGGCATGGCCTCTACCTGGGATTTCTTGAGCCAGGGGTGGATCCAAGGGGGTGCAATAGTGCGCTTGCAGCCCCTTTGATTTCTGCTCCACTCAAACTTTAAAACTAACTGCCTGGCAGTGGCAGTAGCATTTCTAGCTGGGCAGCACCGAGGGCAGCGGTGGACTTCATGCCTCATTTTTTAATTCCCCAGGTGTTAATGCCCCCTCTCACTGGGTTTGTTTTGTTTTCTTTCTTTAAATGGAATTGCTATTTCCCCAGCCGGAGCCTTCCTGTTCCCAGTAAAAGCAGCTCATATTTCACAGCCCTGCATCTTGTTTCTAACTCATCCCAGTGAGATTCTAGCTGGGGGGGGTTTCTTTTCAATGGCAGCCTGAATAAGCCAGGCTGGCAGAGCCTGGCTTATTAGTAAGGCTTTGGG